CCCCAAAACCCCAAAACCCCAAAACCCCAAAACCCCTATTCTCTCATACAGATTTGAAACTTAGTACTTTCCTTTACGAGACTTGCGTGAATTGGTAGATTCCATGTCAAATCTATCACTGTATTGGGATCTTTGATCATAGTTTGTTCTGGTATCAGGCCTACCTCTTCCACCAAAGCCTCTTCCTCTTCCTCTGCCTCTACCTCTTCCTCTACCTCTGTGTATTCTGCCTCTTTGGTTGTAGCCTCTTCCTCTATCACCTCTCTGATTATATCCTCCATGACTAGAATATGTTTCAGGGTTGTTGTAGTCTTTTCTGTAGCCTCCATAGTGACCACCATAGCCACCACGACCTCCTCTCTTGTGGTACCCCTTGTGTTCGACCTCCTTGTCGTACTTCTCTGTCTCTGGCCTATCACCAATCAGAGTTGGTTTGGCTTTCTCTTCCTCCAGACTCTTATCATCTGATGAGTCACTGTTGTCAATATGGGCTTCGAGCGCTGCGAATCTGTTGGTGTAGGGTCCTCTAGTTCTTCTCTGTCCCCTCTGCCCTCTTTTACCTCTCTGAGAGTTCCTTGGCTTGAGCTCTACCCCAGAAGTTTTTGAAAATTTGTCTTGCTTTTCTTTCTTGTACTCTATTTCCTTCTTTGGCTGAGCTTTGTTCTCCTGTTTCGAGATTGAACCAAGATCTCCCATTTCGAATTCATTCACAATGTCTCTCCTCTTCGTTTTTGAGACTTCCTTGATCTCTTCAGGCACAGAGACTTCTTCAGGAGATTCTGAAGATTTTAGCTTCTCATCTGGAGCTTTTGATGTTTCAGCTTCTTTAGAAGCTTCAACTAGTGGCTGCTCTGTTGCCTTCTTTGAGTCCTCTTTCTCAGTTTCTTTGTCAGATGCTTTTTCTGGCTCTTTCTTCATATCAGCTTCCTTCTTCTTGTTATTAAAGAATTGCATAGGTCGCTTCTTTCCAAAGCCTGATAAGGAATGTGTAGAAACAGTATCTTCATCTTTCCTAATGTCTTTATTACTGTATTTGTTGTACTTGCCGTACTTAGATTCCCTATCATAGCCTTTTTGGACATTCCTTTTGTTATCATAATGATCTCTTTTGTCTCTCTGGTTGTATGGCTTGTTGTAGTTATTGAAGCCACCATCTATCTTCTCTTTGACTCTTTCCTTCTGTTGATGATAGTACTTATCAGCAGCCTCATCTGCGTATTTCTCAAGAGTCTCGATATCCTTTTGATAAAAGACCTTGGTCATATGGCCTCTCATCTTCTTTTTCAAGTTATCGTATAAATCAGAGTAAATCTTAACTCAATCTTCGCTATTGGCGATGGTAATGCTGACACGGATTTCTCCATTTCTGCCAAAGTTGATATCTGTTTCTTCGACACCGAACTCGCTGAGAATTTCTTTGATATCATCTATCGACAAATCAGAGGGTTGGTAGTCATGATCATAATATCCTCCTCTGGGTTCAGAGATTTTGACAGCGAGCTCATGTGGACCTTCCTCTTGTTTAATGACTTCTACGAAGAAGTTAGGATCATTCTTATAGTACATCTCATAATTTCCATTCGGATCCCCCCTGAAATTATTTTTTGGTCTTCCTCCACCATATCCACGATTTTGGTATTTCTGATGATTATTGTAGCCGTCTCTGCCTCCATAGTGGTCACGTCTTCCATGTCCTACACAAAAAATGGTTGAAGACTTCTACGTACACGAATAGTTTACCAACCAGGCTAAAAATCTAGAAAAGTAACGAAGATATCTATCAACTATGTTTATTCCCCAATCTCATGGAAGAGTTCCCCATATTTACCTCCTCTTTTCTTTTCTTCATGTTCATGCTCGTGGTCGGATTTCTCAGACTTGGACTCATTGCTTGACTCTGAGTCATCAGAATCGGTATCCTCATCTGTATCGTTCCAATTTATTTTGGCTGCCTTGATTTGTGTGTCCATTTTAGTTGATAAATATTTATTATCCCAACAGCACTACTTGTTTTTGGGGTTTTGGGGTTTTGGGGTTTTGGGGTTTTGGGGTTTTGGGG